GAGGGCCACCTGAGCCTGGTGGGGCTGTTGTCCTTGGGTTTTCCTTATGCAAAGACTTTCCCCTGGATTCATAGAATATAATTGTGATGCAGGGTTTGGAAGATTCCTGAACAAACACTTGTAAGTGTATTATGTGCCAGACATTGTTACGCTTTACTGGTATTAATTCATTCAATCTTTAAATCAAGCCCATGTATTGGGTTATGTTATTTTGCCCATTTTATGGATTTTTTTAAACTAAGCAGGAACAGGGAGAATAAGTAAGTTACCCAAGATCACATAGTAAATGATCAAGTGTGGTTCACACTCAACCATGATGCTCTATGGCCACCTCCCTCTGAGACAGATGGGGTCCTTCTTCTAGTGCAGTAGGAGGAAGCAGGTACCAAAAGGCATGAACAAGAGCATTTGGGGTTCCAGTAACAGCATTAACAATAATTTCTCAATATTACCTAATACTCGGTCTATATTGTAATTTCTTTGATTAGCTGTAAGATATCTTCTTACAGTTGGTTTGTTTGAATCAGAATCCAAACATGGTCCACACAATGCATTTAGCTGTTATATGTTTTGAGTCCCTTTCTTTTAACCTAGTCTCTTTGTTTTTCCTTTTATGTCATTCGCTTGTAAGAATGATTTACTTTTTAAAAATAATGAATATAAAAGGTTAATAGAATTAACCAGGGAACATTCCAGATTATCCGTGTAATCAGAGGGCTCTGTCAATACCAGGACAACACAGGAGAATGTGCTAAATGCACAATCCCACCCCGTACCTGTGTGTGTTGCTGCGGAGAAGAGGTGGGAAGCCCCGAAACTTCAGGGTCCTCCAGTCACAAGGTTCTCTGATTTAGACTAAATTAGGTGCTTTGCTAAGTGTACTTTGAGGATCTCCAAAGCCAGGGAAATTGGTTTATGTGTTCATATCTGCTCATCTGCTCCAAAATGCCCCCGGGGCAGCTCTGAGACAGGGAGACTTGAGGCTCCTTTCCCAGACTAATTAGAATTCATTTCCTGGTGGATTCTCGAAGGCAGATCTGTTTCCTCCATTAGCATCTGGACTGCGCAACTGCAACCCCCTGCCTCTGGTGGATGCCAGGCAGCTGCATCATCAGGACTGGCAGAGAGATGGCAGATGCGGCCAGAGCTTGGGGGCCAGGCTCGTCTTCTGCCACAACCTGGCCCAGTACACAGTCCTGAGGCTCAGTCAGCTTGCGGGCTTTGACACCTCTCACTGCATATGAGGTAGTGCTCCATCCATGCCCCCTGCCCTCTCTAGCCTGTGGGTACTCAGGTCAGCTGGGAGATGGATTTGCAGGTACCTCTCTCCCTGCAAGAAAGCCGGAGACAGAAAAACTCCACCTATGCCTCCTTTAACCAACTAACAATAACCAATTTTATGATTTCTATAGTAATAAAAGTCTATTGTAGACGATCTGGAGGATGCAGCAAAGCACCAATATGAAGAAAAATGACCTATAACCTGCTCATAGAAAACAAACACTCATCTTTAGTGCGTATCCTTCCACACTTC